AAGCACACCTTCGATTATTTCTATGAAGGTGGAAAATTGTGTGATGGTGCTCCCCTTGAATCCGTCACTGTACTTAGATGCCAACTACTATTCAGATTGCCTTCATTGCCTCATTTGTTCTTATATATTTAATCTTGTTTGTGCGCTTCTATGGAAGTAGAATTTTGGAATGCTCCCTCCATCCCTATATATAAGATGTTGTTAGAAAGTTTTTTTTGTCCCTAAATATAAGGGTTCTCGTAATATCTTTTAACAAATGGACAATTTTACCCTTATGTTGTCTTGGAAATGAAAAAAGCTACGTACTGCATTTATTTACTTTTGGAAATTGGTCAAGGGCAAAACTAAAAAAATGTTGTGCTTTTAAGTAAATAACCAACTTTTATTGATTTGTGTGAATTAGTTAAAAACATCTTATATATAGGGATGAAGGGAGTGCATCTTGTTTGGATGTTGCATCTTGCATGGCTGATAATTAAAATATATTTATTTTTTTCCTGATTATTCTTGATGTTTGCCAGCTGCACTATTCTGTGTCTATCCCCAAGCAAGGTCACAAGAGACTGGCTTTTGAAAGTAGAAGAGGTTTAGTAGTTAAAGCTTCATCTCTATCCCCAGAATCATCAGGGTCAAACACCAAAATTGCTCCTCTTAAGCTGGAATCTCCAATTGGACAGTTTCTTTCTCAGATATTGATTAGTCATCCGCATCTTGTGCCTGCTGCAGTAGAACAACAGCTTGAGCAGCTTCAAACTGACCGTGACGCTGATAAACAAAATGTGGAAGAGCCTTCTGCTTCAGGCACTGACTTAGTTTTGCACAGGTTTGTCCAATACTTGATGCTGCTGCTATTTTGTGCTTTATCTTCACATCTTTTCTTCATTGGCCAATTAATCTAAGAAACTAAATTCTTGCTTGTTGATTAATCATGGTTTCCTTGGTCATATATGGAGGTCTTCTTATATACCAGTCCATAATTCAAAAGGACATAAAAATGCGTTGTGCATGAATTATGCCAATGACTCTTGTTAATAAGTCTGACCATTTTATTGGCTTTTCAATATTTCCAGAAGGATTGCGGAGGTTAAGGCTAATGAAAGAAGGAAAGCTCTCGAAGAGATTTTGTATGCATTGGTGGTGCAGAAGTTCATGGATGCCAATGTTTCTCTGATACCCTCTGTAACTCCAGATCCTTCGGGTCGAGTTGATTCATGGCCAAGTGAAGATGGGAAATTTGAGCAGCTTCACTCACCTGAGGCCTATGAGATGATCAGAAACCACTTAGCTCTCATTTTGGGTAATCGAATTGATGATGCAAGTTCTATGGCTCAGATCAGCAAACTCAGGGTTGGACAGGTTTATGCTGCATCAGTGATGTATGGTTACTTTCTTAAGCGAGTTGACCAAAGGTTCCAGCTGGAGAAGACAATGAAAATTCTTCCTGCTACGGCAGAAGAGAATGGTGGACAGCAAATTGTCATGGATGGTAGAAGACCAAGTAATGGAGAAGATCCTTCTCAAGGTATGGCCCATCCCGAAGTCTCTACCTGGCCTGGTGGTGGTGTCAATCCTGAGGGTTTTGGCTATGGCGTAAAGCCATCCAGGTTACGTACCTATGTGATGTCCTTTGATGGTGAGACCCTTCAGAGATATGCGACAATAAGATCCAAAGAGGCCGTCAGCATCATTGAGAAGCACACAGAGGCATTGTTCGGAAGACCTGAAATAGTGATAACACCGGAAGGGACAATTGACTCTTCAAAAGACGAGAACGTGAAGATTAGTTTTGGTGGTTTGAAGAGCCTTGTTTTGGAGGCTGTGACTTTTGGTTCTTTTCTCTGGGATGTTGAGAGCTTTGTGGACTCGAGGTACCATTTTGTCTTGAACTGAGTGCTGCTGTGTCTACCATGGCAAAGTTGGTGCTGAACACCTCACTAGTATTATTGAAATCATAAAATGTAATTATGGTGTTAAGATCCATATAATATTACACTTAATTGATCTGTGCACAGCGAGTTTTCCCACTTTCTTGTTGAGTGGAAGTTTTTCTTCAACTTGGTTTTTGCCTGTCTAATTATTCATTTTGGCATCAACAAATCTGTACTATGTATAGTTGCAACGCCTGGTATGGTGCTGCTGCATAATTAGTTGTCTTGCATTGTGCTGCCAAATTGGCTTCACTTACGATGTAAAATGTTGCCTGTACGTGGAGATCAAAGCTTCATCCCGACGAGTCATGCTGCCTTGCGTACCCGGACTTGGGGATTGGAGAGGCGAACTTGGCTATCGCGTCCTCTATGTTAACGTTCATCAGTGTAGTTCATTCTTGATATTAAGGGTTTGAGAATGTAAGAAGTTCAGAACTTCTGTGGATGCATTAAAAATTTAACTATGCGGTCTTTTTTTTTTTTTTTAAACAGCTAGCCTGTTTTGTTTGAGAAATAGGTTCCAGTTTTATGTTACTACAGAAGTCTTCCAGGATGACTTGGATTATTTTTATAAAATCGTTTAAATTAAAAAAAATTAATATCAATAAATGGTAAATGATGCTTGTAAAATTATTTAAACGCTTACTGAATAGAGGGTTGTTATGCTTGTATTGAAAGTGGACTTCACATTGATCCAACTTTTATAGTTGATGGAGTAAAAATCGCGTCGAAAAGGCTACCTTTAGAAACCGGGTCATATAGAAGATTAATCAACTGGGAGCATGAAACTTGTGACACATAATGAACAGCAATAGATGTATTTAAATCCTGACATGGGAGAGTCTAAATAACACGAGTGTGATGGGTAATTCAAACAACACAGCTATTTCTAAACATGCAGTCAAAAATGAAATCTTTTACTATAACTATTTTACTAATCAAGCAACTGGTGAGTTGAGAATTCTGTTTGAATGGTACTCAAAACTATTGTATAATATGGATTGAATGATCTTATATGTTATGGAATTAAGTTCTTATTAAAAACTTGTATCCTCATCTCATTGTGTATTACATCCAATTTTTTAGTCAAAATTTAAAAATTGAATTACAGTTGAGTCAAGATTATAATAATTAAATGGTTATTTTTCTTTAAAAAATTATTTAAAAAGGCCATCCACAAAACCTAAAAACCATATAAAAGTCAATTCAGCAAACATAAATGAAATTTACTTCTATCATTTTGAAAAGTCAAATTCCTAAAATGGAATCTACATTTTTTTTCACATGTCTTTTTATTAAAGACAATCTTATTTTAAAAACACAGTTGGGTAGCAAATGTAGGGTTGTGGACACCTATGCCAATGAGAATATAAATTTTGATTCATTACATTACAAGAGACTAACTTTTTTTGCTAGACTCAACCTCCGTTAGTAAATGAAATTTACTTTAAACACAATCAATATTAATTATTAAACACGGACACCTTTTAAACAAAATATTCAAATATTACTTCACCACATGGTAGGAAATTAATCATTCTACTAGAGCTAACTCCTAAACCAAAATTATATATAAAAAAAATGTAAAGAAAAGACAACGAATAATTATATAAAAATTTGTAAGTATAAATTAATAAAATAAATTTTATTATTCGAAGCAATCAATCCATTTGTCTTAAATTATAATATAAGTTTACGCATTCTAATAAATTCTCGTAATGACATTTTATAAACTTTTTTTTTTCAAAACTTTTAAAAATATCCTCTAATTTAATATAAATTTAAACTTATTGCTATTTCAATTTTCTCACCACTTTAAGTGTAATGTTAAATAAGTATCAATAATAAAATGTTTTTTTGTCAAATTATAAAGGGTTAAGGTATAAAGATACTAATTAAGTGATCGGCCAAAAATATCCAGTAACCTAAAATAAAAAAAAAGATAAAAATATCCATAACGTCATTAGATTTGGTGCAAAAGTGATTAAACAATTAACTTTACCTTAATGTTGTTAGTTTTCGATATTAAATGCTGACTGTGCTTGTTATGTATTAGTCTTTGTTGATGTGGATTAAAAAAAAGGGACAAAAATATCTATGAAGTCATTGGCTAGTACCATTCAACAGCCTAAAGTGAGAAAAAGAATAAAAATATACATAATAATGTTGACTATTTAACTGACACATAAGCAGAAGTTGACCATTTTTTTGCTGACGTAGACAAAAAATATTTCTAGATTAATTTCTATTGAGGTTGATCAATGACGTATCACACTAAATCTTATTTTTTTCACTGATATATCCCACCTCCTTCGTCCCTCCCTTTCTACTTATTTTTCTTATATGTAAAACTTAAAATTCAATACAGTAAGATAAATTATACACAATCAAAGATCGAGATTAAACACACCTCCTACACCGCCTGCCTTCAGAAGATTGTTACAACCTTAATCAATTTCATTTATGATAGGTTCAAAATTCTCAAATAGTTTTTGTCACTGTTGCAAAAAAGTAAATAATTTAACTTTGATGTTCAGTAAAGACGACATTTTTTCACATGATATGCATACGATAACCTATCACCTTCATAGAATTTCACTTGCAAATTTTTTTGTCCACATTAGTGGAAAAATGATCAACTCCTGTTTATGTGTCAGTTAAACGATTAATATTTAAGGGATTTGATAGATTGGTTACTTTTTCATCAACTTTGATAACGTTATGAGTATTTTTGCCTCATTTTCACTTTAGACTACTGGATATTTCTAGTTGACTACTTCCTGAGTACTTTCTCTCTCTCTTTTTAGTTCATATTTGTAAAGATTGACACGTGTCAATCACATTTAGTATTTAACATACTAATGCCTTTAAGATAAAGTTAAAAGTTTAATCACTTTTACACCAATTTTAATAATATTTTAAGTTTTTTTAATCCTTTTTTTCATTTTAAGCTAATAAATGCTTCTTCTTAGTTATTAATCACTTGATAAATATTTTTGTACTTTATTCTAATTATAAAATTCTAACAATGTTGTTTTATAATTTGTGAGGGAGTGGGTATTATTTTTGTCTTTGGCGAAAGAAAGGGCCGGGCTAATTAATTTTCGACCCCGATAGAACTCATTATCGCAAGCATAGGATCCATTTCTCTTCGTCGACGAACCAGCATTCCACACGCCGTTGGACGCCGTCCACCGTTGTCAACCCCACTTTGTTGTTCTTGGGCAAGCAGCGAAGACGGTTCGAACCCTAGGGCTTTTTGTACTCCCAAAATCCGGTGAGGTTGATTTGTTCAATCTGACTTTTAATTTGTGCCCCGCGTCATCTGTTCCCTGCTTAGATGTTCTTGCTTTGTTTTAAATTTTTCATTTTAAGCTGGCTTTCAATCTGTTCGTGTAATCGTTTGAATATTGACGCTTTTGAATTTTTGGAATATTTACATTGAGTTTATTTTTTTTGTACTCGTTTTTGCTTGAATGGTGTGTAATTGGCTATTATACTTCTTCCCTCTTCATTTTGATTTGCCAGCGACTTGTATGATTTGGATTATGTTGTTTCTCAATGTTGGAATTGTTGTGTATTGGCATTCTGTTTATTAATCTTTTTATATTATCATCAATTTTGGAAAATTGTCAAGGTATTTGTTATGTATGATCTTGTAAATGACTTGGCTCGAGTTGTGTCAAAGTATCTGGAACAAAAATTAAAAGGGCATGATATCAACTATGCATATTTCAAAGATTTCGGTGGCCACTGAGTGCACTATAAGTCCGCCCGTGTGTGTGTGTGTGTGTGTGTGTAAGGCAATTATGAGTATTTGAATTGTATTTAGGATGTTTCGCTCCTGAGTGTTTTGTTGTGGAATTTTCTATCTGGTCCTTAGTTTGGAGAAGATAGAACGGGCGAATAGGATGAAGCCATATTTGGTATAATTAATCTTAAGCCACAAGAACGGCAAATCTGTCAACTTTTACCCTCCCTTTGTAAAATATATAAATGCAATATCATGTATAAATTTTTTCTTTCAAATTCAATATATTTATTGAACATATAACTGAGTTTAAATGTGCTCCAAATAAGAGTGTTACTTCAGTAACTTAGAGCACTGGAGGAGCTGTTTCTCTATCTTTGTTCTCATTTCGACACAGTGGGGCTCCACCTCCACATCCTTCCATTTTCTGCTCTACCTTTTTCCCATTAGCCCATTAGGGGTCAGATTCATCATCTTTCATCAGCCTCTGAAATTTTAAAATAAATATTGTTATTATCATGTCAATTATTGAGTTAGCCTCATAGAATTTCTGCTGCCATAGATATTCTGAAGCAAATGCTGCGTTTTGCTCCCATAAAATTTTGACTGATGCGTATTCAGGTGCCATGAGTATAAGGTGGCCAAGAGTATTGACACCTACCTACCTTTCCCAGATTATACAATTGCAAAAAAACCCATTAAAGGCTCTCCAAATTTTCAGTGAAGTCCAATCAAGGTACCCCAAGTACCACCACAATGGTTCAGTGTATGCCACTATGATTAGCATCCTTGGAAAGTCAGGGCGAATCACAGAGATGAAGGATGTGATAGAGCTGATGAGGGAGGACTCATGCGAATGCAAAGATTCAGTCTTTGTATCGGCTATCAAGACATATGCTGAAGCTGGAATGATAGATGAGGCTATCTCTCTGTATCATAGCATTCCTCGGTTTAACTGTATTAATTGGACAGAATCTTTCAATACCCTGCTGAAGATATTGGTGAAAGAGAACATGCTTGAAGCTGCTCACCATCTTTTTAGGGAGAGTGCTTATGGTTGGCAAGTGAAGTCTCGCATTCAGCCCTTGAACCTGCTTATGAAAGTTCTCTGTGAGAAGAACCGATCTGATCTTGCGCTGCAAATATTCCAAGAGATGGACTATCAAGGTTGCTACCCAGATAGAGACAGTTATGCAGTTTTAATGAAGGGATTGTGCCAAGATGGGAGGGTACATGAGGCTAAGCATTTGTTATATTCAATGTTTTGGAGAATCTCACAGAAAGGTTGTAGTGAGGATATTGCGATATACAGAACTCTTTTAGATGCATTATGTGATGATGGTCAAATTGAAGAAGCCACAGAAATTCTTGGTAAAATTTTGAGGAAAGGACTAAAGGCCCCAAAACGGTGTTGTCACCGACTTGATCTTACTCGGTGCAATGATGGTGAGGATATAGAAGGTGTGAAGTGCCTAATTCATGAAGCACTTTTCAAAGGTGCAATACCAAGTTTGGCAAGCTACAGTGCTTTATCTATGGATCTATATAAAGATGGCAAAATTGTTGAGGCTGATAAAGTCATCACAGAAATGCAAGATAGAGGCTATAGACCAACACCTCCTATTTTTGAGGCAAAGGTGGAAGCATTGTGTAAAGAAACTAATATAGATGAAGCAATAAAGGTCATAGAGGAGGACATGGTGAAAGCCAATTGCCTGCCTACTGCCAGAGTGTGCAATATTGTGTTGAAAAGCCTATGTAGTGAAGGTAAATCAATACTAGCCCTTGAGTATCTGCATAAGATATCCAAGCAGTCAGGTTGTAAAGTTGACAAAGAAGCTTACAGCATTGTCCTGGAAATGCTGTGTCGTGAAAGAAGATATATTGAAGCAAGCCGACTTTTGGAGCAGATGTCAATTAAGTCATATTGGCCTTGTGATAATACTTACAATTCACTCATTGGTGGTCTTTGCTCTCTGGGCAGTCAATATGAAGCTGTAATGTGGTTGGAGGAGATGATAAGCCAAGGTAAGCTGCCAGAAATTAGGGTTTGGAATTCTTTGGTGTCTTTATTTTGTGATTCAGAGAAGATGAAAGTACCTACTGAAACATTGCATCGCCTAAGTAGGGCATGATTCTTCTTGCTTCTCTATTCACAGGCTTATTAGCATTCAGACTGTCTTGCAGTCATGTAACACTAAGTTCTAAAATTTACCCCAATCGCAGGATGTCATCTGTTCTAAATTTTGACAGAGACTTATTCTGATTCCTCACAGGTAAACCAATTTTAAAGTTGGTTCTGACTTCTGGACATATTTTTGTTCTCATTTCATTCCCTTCTGATTCAAACTCTAACTGAACTAGTCCTTGCGTTAGTTTAAGTTAAGCTTTGAATTGTGAGAGATCATCTAGAGAATGGCTATTAATCTGACTGGTAACTTGGGATGGGTATTGGTCAATATGTCAAGAGTTGATTTTAAACATGGTTTAAAAGAAAAAAAAGGAATTTCAAGAGTCCAGTTTTGTAAGTTGATTAATGTAATAATGTACCCTACTGGTTTCCATGCTCCAGCTAGATGCTATCATCATTACTACCCTCCAAGCTTTTGAAACTACGAGTATCATTTTCTGACTTTCTGTACAGGTTGGGTAAGTTGATTTCTGGGGACCAAACCCATAAACAAATCATTACGCGCTCAGTGTGATGGCACGCAATTATCGTGCCAACTAAACCCCCCAATATTTAATTAATATGAATTGTACTTCAATTGGCTATCAAGTTCTTTTAGCTAATCCATGTCTGAGGATTGGGATAAGCCAAATCCTTCCCCATAGCTACATCCCACCCTCCAAAATCTCCTAGTTTCTTATCCATTAATTATAATAATGTTGCCCTTACATTTATAATGATCGGGACTTGAGGGACTGGGGTAAAAAAAAAAAATAGTTAAATATTTTATAGATTAGATGATATTCTATTAGTCTTAGTGTGCATCAATTTCTGTCCATGGTCCATAGAAAATTGTGACGTCTAGGTAACTACAACCTATATGATACTTCGCTTCACTTTCTTGCTCGGTATAACTTTGTGCAAACTGCCTTTTACCAATTGCGGGTGTTAATCCACGTGTCGATGATTGCAATTCACAAAACAAAACAAAAAAGCCAAAAAAAAAAAATCATGTTTCAGTAAAAATAAATAAAATTGTGAGTTAAAAGATAATTTTATAAGGATGCATTTTAACTATTTTTGTGCAACTATATAAATCATTGGATTAAAATATAAGGTATAGAATTCCATCAAAAAAAACTACCCAAAAAAAACAAATTCCATAAAGAAAAAGGTATAGAAAAATGTATAGTTGTAATTTGGTATTCTCTCGCTATTTTGTACTAACATCTCTAGTAATTGTTTGATTGAATCCTCAATCTTTATAGTGTTATGTGGAAGTTGGGACACGTGAAATATTTCATAGACATTCACTGAATCTATATCCATTTTGTAGTATCTAATCTCCATTAATGTTAACTTGGCTCCACCTTGCAATTTAGCTCATTATATTTGCCTTAACCCATGACATGCTGGCTGCTTTTAATTTCAAATTCCAATCACTATGTTTAATGGTAAATGAAATTGGCGGGCTATGAACTTCCTTGTTTATCTAAAACTTCATACGTACATATATATATATATATATATATATATAACTATAAGGTGGCTGCTATGTTAGTCACTTCCAAACGCCTCATTAATATAACCCCACCCAAATTTTCTACTTCATAGATCATCCTAACTTAACTTTTTCTGTAACTATAATAATAGTAGTCCAAGCATGCTCGCTTACCATCACCAACCTTTTCTAGGAGTACAAAAAATGATGTTTTTTTTATTTAAATTTTCCTTGCTGAGACACATTCTACAATGTTAGCCACTGAAACGTGAGTGATAAAACAAGCTATTTCAATGATGCATTAAAGCACTAAATCTATCATGAAAAGGCTAAATAACTGTTTGTTAACTATATCCGGGCATTACATATATTACATAATCAACTTTGTCCCAATGATTTTGGATTTTTATATGAGTATAAGAGAACTCTTTTTTTTTTCCTTTTGCATTAGTTAGCCAAAAAATGTAGCTCTCAAATAAATAGATGATAATTAATAAAAATTATAGATTAAGATTCTTTAAATCGTGTGTGACCACTATTGATGAGCAAAATTCTTTTCATAAGTGGCGGAGCCACATGTTGTTAGTTGGAAAAAATAACATGTATGGGGGTATGTATTTTTATATTTTACAATTTATTTCCTTCTTCTTTTTATACTTTGCACCTCTTATTTTAATATTTTAAACTTTAAATTGATTCCAATCTTAAATTTAATCCAAATTTAAAATTTAATTCTTTAACTCAAATTTTAAAAAATATTAGCCTTTAATTTTACTATACATAGATTCCAACATTATTTTTTAATCCTTTAAAAATAGAAGAAAAATTAATTTGATTAAACTAGGCACTCGTTGTTCTCATCCTGAGAGTACTAGTCCTGTTATTACTAAAAATACAAATTTTTAAATAGGCATAGTTCAAGAAAAAATAATTTTTTTATGAAATAAAATTTAGATGAGTTAAATCTTTAGAGGCTTCCTACCAATAACATTGTCATATTGGCATATAAATTTGAACCACAACCTTGTATATTATGAATTAAATCTTTAATAATTGGATCAATTTTTATTGGTGAACAAAAAAGACAATTTTAATAAAATTTAAATATATATTATCTAATAAATTTATTTACAATGTAGTAGTACAGCAACAATCGTTTAGTAATCTTTAACCGAAGTTAAAATTTTCCTAGAAACAGAACTCTCTTGTCCTCATCCAAAATTTAGAGCCAACGTCAACCAGTTCTAATGTATAAATCTGGAAAGATGAATATTCTCATGAGAAAACTTGGACAATCCAAAAGGCGGCTAAGTTAATTTAGTCACATGCAATTATTTTTTCAAATAAAAATAAATCCCCTCTTAAATATTATGCCCACTGCCGCACCATGTCCACCACGTTAACATTTTAACCTCTTCTGAGAGTGGACCCCACCCTCGTATCCTCCTCCCTTCCTCTCTCACTCTTTTTTTTTTCATGGCCGTCTTCTTCTCAGCTGCTTGTCTCTATTCTCTATTAATAATAAATCACTAATGAATTAAAATTTTAAAAATTATATTTATTTTTATATTTAAATTTAAAAATCAGTTTTTTTAGATAAATACATGAATAGACTGGGAAAAGGAGATAATTATTTCCCTGTTATAAAGCTAAACATAAAATGCTAGTTTTAATTTGTTTTAATTTATACATTTTTATCTTGGGATATTATAACTTTTAATCCCTACATTTTTATGATTTATTAAGTTGAGAAATTATTAAAAAAATGAGTTGTATAGCATTAAGAAACTATAAAAACTGAGCTATTCCAAATTAATTGATTATATGGATTGAGTTATTATTAAGGACTTGATCGATGATTGATAAAGTTTCAAAACATTATATTTTCTCTTTGTTATTAAAATTTAAATTTTTATTTAAATAGGAGTAAAAGATAAAATAAGAATAGTTTCTTTTAATGTCTCTTAAATTTTAATTTATTTTTAACAAATGCTCCTATAATTTTTCATTTAAAAGATTAGAAATAAGTTTTTTCACTCTACAGTCTCAAATATCACCAATAAAAGAAGATAAGGATATGCCATTCGCGACTGATCATGAGCGCTTAACCCCTCAATCTCACTCCCTCCTGCCTTCATATATATGTGTGTGTGTCACACGCGGACCCTTCGCTTCACCTTGCTCTTTCTTCAGAAATGGCCGTCGTTCGTCAACGCCGCCATCTCAAGCTTTGCGTTGCGCTGCCGGAGCCCTCCGATCGCCGCCCTCGCTTCCCTTTCCCCACCAATTCATCTTCCTCCACCTCCTCCTCCTCCTCCTCCTCCTCCGCTTCAGACATCACTCTTAACGAGATCGAAAAGCTTGAAGTTCTCGGCCATGGAAATGGTGGCACAGTCTACAAGGTTCGCCACAAGCGAACTTCTGCTATATATGCCCTGAAGGTCGTCAACAGCAGCTCCGACCCGATTACCTGCAGGCAGGTCCGGCGAGAGATGGACATCCTCCGACGGACGGACTCACCGTATGTAGTACAGTTCCACGGTTTCTTCGAGAAACCGTCCGGCGACGTGGCGATTTTGCTGGAGTACATGAACTTGGGGACGCTGGACACTGCTGAAGAACAGCGGCACTTTCTCTGAATCCCAACTCGCGACGGTGGCGCGTCAAGTTCTCAGCGGGCTGAGCTATCTTCACGCGAACAAGATTATCCACCGCGATATCAAGCCGTCAAATCTGCTAGTGAATCAGAATATGGAAGTGAAGATCAGCGATTTCGGAGTCAGCAAGGTCGTGTGCCGGACGTTGGACGCGTGTAATTCATACGTCGGTACGTGCGCGTACATGAGCCCAGAACGGTTCGACCCGGATAGATATGGCGGGCACTATAACGGGTACGCGGCTGATATATGGAGCTTGGGTCTCACGTTGTTTGAACTCTATGTGGGTCATTTTCCCTTTCTTCCAGAGGGTCAGAGACCCGACTGGGTTGCCTTGATGTGTGCCATTTGTTTTGGCGACCCGCCTACCTTGCCGGAGAGTGCGTCCGACGAGTTTCAGAGTTTCATGGAGTGTTGCCTGAAGAAGGAATCAAGCGAGAGATGGACGGCGTCTCAGCTTTTGAACCACCCGTTTCTTTGTCAGTAATAACCAGCAAGCCGACCCGTTTATCTCCATGACGGCCCGGGTTAATAAGATTGGGTCGTTTTTGCTTCTTCTTCTTTTGTGGATAAGCCATCCGGCATGCAATTTTCACTTTTTCAGAATAATTCTCTTACTGAATTATGCTGAGATGTAAAGAATTAATTCTGGCTGCTTTAGTTATATAATCTTCCTTGAGATTCATATTTACACTAGTTTGATTAGTGTTTAATTAGAAGAATCAAGTTGGCCGAAAAAAAGAAGAAGAAGGAGAAGAAGGAGAAGAAGAAGAAGAAGAATCAAATCGATCAATCGGTGCATTTATCATGAAGTTGACTTGTTTAACCTTAAAGTTGACAAAAAAAAAAAAGTCATCCATCATCAACCGAACAAATTAATTTAAAGATGTGATAATGAAACTTATAATTTTTCAAGTTTGCTTTAATAATCAATTTGATCATTCAAGTCTAATTTTTATTAATTTTATCTTTTAACTTTCTTTCAAT